TGTTTTATTCTAGACATGGATTCTATTCTATTTTTTTTTTTTGACACTTATGCCATTTTGCACGAGTCCTGATTAATTGCTGACCCTTTTAATTACCTTTTTACTTTTAATTACTGGAGACATTTTGTAAAAAAAAATGCATTTAAAACTAAACTTAAATAATAATGTAAATAATCTTTTATTTGTCGATTTCGTTAGTCTGGAAAAATGGTATGTCTGGAGTGTCACTGTGGGAAAACAAAAGCACAGTTTTTGCTTCTTATATTTTTGAAACATTGTGAGAATGATCAAAATAATGTTTTACTTAAAGATCCCTTTCAGGCTCATTTGATAAAATTCATACTGAGATTGATAAGAGAAGTGCAAGAGAGAACCTTTAACTTCCCATCTCTAATTTTGTGCATTTTAAGAGAAAGCGCTTATCAGGTATAGAATCTCAGGAATGCATGCAGAGCCTAACAGCAGTAAGGAGGCTTTCTGGATGATCTGTCATACTCAGCATTTAGATAACCTTTGTTCAGGACTCAGGAGGCCATGTTTGCTCACTCTCATAGCTAATTCATAAGGGGTGTGACTGACTGAATTTTTCAGGTTCTATAAAAATGTGTGGGACTGTAGGAGAATCTACCTATATCACGTCTGCTTGTCAGACACATCTACAGTAGGCTATTGTTTGTTGTTGACTGTATGACCTCACCTTTCTCTTGTCAGTAAAGAGGGAGTTCCCCACTCTGAAGTGTCAAAGTCAGAAAGCCACACTTTTTTTTTATATACTTTCCTACACTTTTTTTTTTCCTGCAGTTTAGAAGGAATGAAGTAATCTTCTCAAAATAGTGGGTTTTTTTCACCCGATTTTTCGCTCGCCGACAGGTTTTGCGAAATCGCCGGCAAATGCCTGAAATCGGAGGCAAATCGGTGCTCGTTCATGCGAGTGACAATCACGCAGTGTGAATTATCAAAGACGCGATCTGAGAGAATCGCCGACGCCCGTGAATGCTAAATTTCATTTCAACGCCGTGAATTTGGCATGCTAAATATCTGGAGCTGTCGGCGATTCACAATCCTGCTGTGTGAAATGAGTTCTGACTGAAAAACACATCGGCGATGACCTACAGCCAATGAGAGA